CTCGCCCGGCGCTGGGAACGGCTCCGGCCCTTGTGCTCCAGCACTGTCAGGTCCGACGGCCGCTCGGCTCCTGACGGATGGGACCTGCTCGCTCCTGGCGCAGCCGGCCCGTTGCCATGGTAATGGCAGGATATTGCTTTCTTACAGCCTCCTCGCTCGCACAAAGCCAGCCGCCGGCTCCAGCTTTGCTTAGCGCAGGGATGTGCAGCGCATACCAAGCGCTCCTGCCTTTCCTCCATCCCTGGCTGGGAACCCACTCCGGAGCGTGCGGGGAAGAAGCAGCAGGAGCCGGAGCTCCCTGCCTCTTTCCCACGGCTGGAAAACCCCAGGTCTTCTGGGCCACCTGCTCCTCCTCTTCCTCCAGGTGCTTGTGCACCCGTCCCTCCTGCGTCTTATTTCCTCCATGTTTTTCAATTGCAAAATCCAGCCCATGCTCCTTTTTCCACCTCCTGCCTGTGACCTACACGGCTGGCTTGGGGGGACACCCCTTAACCTCTCCAAAGCTCGAGAGGTCTGGCCACGTCCTCGGTGGTGCCGATCGCTGCTGCCCAGGCAGCCTGGCCGGAGCATCCCGAGCCCAAGCAGCATCTCGGAGATGGGGCTCAGCACACGGCTCTGGGAGGTTGGATCAAGGATCCGACCTCACGGGATAAGACATGGCTCTAAATGCTTTGGGAGGCGGCGGGGGTGATTTTTGCCCAGCCCAGGGTCTTGGTCCCGTTTCCTGACGCTGCGGGAGCTGCTGGTGAAGTCTACGCTGGACGATAGCCCAAGCGTTCGGCTGGACGGGTGGGCTCTAGGGGGAGATCTTGGCAGCAGCGAACGCAGCAGGGTGGCAATCGCGGGCGGCTGGTTCGTGCGGTACATCAGCCATGTGTTGATGCGGCCTTGGCATGGTAGGATACCTCATCCTGGTTGTGTTGGCACACATGCTGGGTTCGGCAAAATCAGTAGCGTGAACAAGAGTCCCGGCTCTCACCTGCCTGCCAGCCCCGGTAGCCAAGCCCTGAGTCTCTTTGCCAGTTTTAGCCAAAGACAATAGACTTGGAAACCTCCATGGGTGTTATTTCCCCAGCTGTGAGAGCTGGAGACCTCGCTCGAAGGCTGCGAGTTCAGCTGAGCCATGTGATCAGCCCCCAGAGAATCTACGTAGGGCTTCAGGAGACCAGGCGTCGTGAGCTCTGCTCGGGGGCATCCTCCGCTTGAGACGAAACACCCATCAGCATTGCTTTGTCTGAGCCACCGATGCTTGAAAGCCCTGCAAAGCCAAGTGGAGAGGGATGAGCAAGGTCTTCCCTCTGCCGAGGACCATAGCATCGCTTCCCTGGAAGAGGAGGAAGGCTGGCGATGGCAGTGATGCCCCATGGTGGCAACGAGGTCCCATCCTTGACAGCATCACGGAGGTGCCATATTCTTCGGGGACAGCAGCATCATAGCTCCCCATTGCACAAGCTGTTATTATCTTACGTTTTTTCATCCCCAGGGGAGCTGTGGGCTGGGACTTAATCATGTTTATAGGCACAGGGTCTTCCCAAGCATGCCGAGAGCCTCGTGGTGCCCGCGGCAGGCTGCTTCCCCACGGCCAGCTCTGCACTGAAGCCTGGGCACCTCGCTGCCTGCTCAAAGGCTGCTGGGGGCTTAAAAATCAGCCTAATTACAAAAAAAAATCCCCAGCTTAAGACACCTGCAACAGAGAAACCCAGGGGCTCCTCTTTCTGATTCTCAGGGGTCGTATTTTCAAGTTCTGCAAGATCAAAAAAAGATGTAATTGGCTTTTTTTTTTCCAGGGGTAAGGGTTCTTTTTGGTAGCTCAGAAGCTAAAACTTCCATATAACTGCAGCTCCTCGACAAGATGCCTTGTGAGAACATGTGGAAAGCCTGGGATGCTGTGCTTGTGGGCAAGGGGTGGTTGGGGATGTGCTATGCTGGATGCTGATGGGTTAGACGTGGCAACCGGCCCTTTTTGGCAGCCTTTCTGCTCCGCACAGCCCTGCTACGCTCAGAGCATCAGGGACGGCTGATGAAACATCTAGACCCAAGGACATTTGAATGAAGGGGGACCCAAAATAGCCTGAGACATGAGAAGGGTTGAGGACGAAAAAAAAAAAAACCCACCCTGTAATAACTTCTCCAGAAATGCTATATATAGACTAATTCGGCCACTTCTGGAAGGTAAGAGCTATGAAATCCAAATGGCAGCTCTGCCTCCACGTCCTGAGCGCAGGCAGCCGAGCCTGCTCTCAGATGCTGCCCTGAACGGGGCGAGCTGGGGGCGCGGGGGGGCAGGCAGGCAGACTGATGTTTGCCCCCGAGAGCATCCCCATGCTCTTGCTGGGGTTGTCCCAAGTCTGTGGTTATGAAGAGGAGCGGGGAAGCAAAACCCAGACCTCCCAAAGTGGGAAGAGGGAGAAGCAAGCCCTGCTCCTGGTTGTATAAATTAGATTTAATTTTACGTGCTCCCTTGGGACTCACAGAACAGAAACTGGTTTTTTTTTTCTCCCCTTTTCTCTTTCCTGCCCCATCCCCTCTGCAATCATTTGAAATTTCCACTTTGAACTTCATAGGTAGTCCTCTTTTCCCTACGCCTTCCTTGATGCACCGGGATTTGGTGTTGGCTTCCCATCTCGCCCTCTCCGGCCGTGGGTTTGGAAAGGAAAGCTCACGCCGCCGGCTGCCTCCGCCCCCGTGCGTGCTCACCCCACGCCGTCCCTCTCTCCACAGGTTATCCTGAAGGACCTGGAAGTGCTGGCCGAGATCGCTTCTTCCCCGGCGGGACAGACGGAGGGTCACGGTCCCTCCGACGGCTCCGATGTGCGACCTGGCCCGGTGGAGCTTCACGTCCCGGCCAGGGCCGGCCAGCTGAGCTCTTCTGGTGAGTGCTGCAGCTCCGTGCCTCCCCGCTCCCTGGTCTTACTTGATGCTCGGTGGCACCGACGAGATTTGCTCAGGCAGAAGGAGAAGCCTCTCTTGCAGTAATAAATCAATATATCCATCCCCACCCGGCATCGCTTGGGGATCGAGTCTGCCGTGGCGCAGACCAGGGGGCTGCTTTTATTTTTATTGCTCTTTCCTCTAGCTCATATTTTGGGGATTTAGGACCCTTGTTTAGCAGCAGGATGCTGCAGAAGCCAGTGTGGAGGGAGGTCATTATTGTCCTGGTTTTTATGGGACCTTGGGTGCCAGCCTCTTCTCTCCTTGCAAAAGTTTTCAGAGCCTCTGAAAGCAGCTCAGGACGCGAGGCTGGCTGCAAGCCAGGGTATCCAAAACATAGGTGGATCTGCAGAGGGTTCAGTCTGTGCCCATGTTGCCTGTTCAAGGCTGCCCACATTGACAATGAACTGCTACGGTGCTCCGAGTGTCGGGTAGGACCTCAGAGGAGAGATGAAGAGGGACAATCCTATTTTCTGGGAACTTGAGGGATAAAAAAAAAGCCTTTCGTTAATCATCCTGGCACATCGGGAAGTTTTTCCACCTTCCCTTGTCTGTGGCTCATCCTCTGCAGTTGCTTGGCTGCCCCTTCTCCTCTGCTGCTGCTATTTAAGGGCCTCCCTGTTGTACTCCCCAGGCCAGGTCGTCCCAGCCAAAAGCACGTTTCACGGCAGCTTTGGATTGCAACCCGAGGGCGGAGCCAAGGCTGCCTCTCCCTGCGCAGGATGCAGCCACGGGGCCTTGCAAAATCACCGCCGGAGAAGGAGGCTTTGCTTTCCGCTCCCCGGGCTTTGTTTTCTCTGAAGACCCCAGATCACTCGCCCCTCCCTGGGCTTAGAAAGGTCTGCACCAGCAACCAGCTCAGGTTTTGGGTTGTTCGGGTGGGTTTTTGTTTTGGGTTTTTTTTTTTTTTGGCAGATCTACCTGTTTCCCCCTTGGGCAGCCGTACAGGCTCCGCGGCGGAGGGGTGGGGGGGCTGCAATGCCGGCGACCTCCCCAGGCAAGTCGCATCCATCCTCCCTGTGTCAGAAGTGCGACGGCCTGGGTGGAGCAGCTCCTGCGGTGCTGGCCAAGCGGCTGAGGAGCTGCAGTTCAGCTCACACTGATGGTTGTCTGAGGTTTCCTTCCTTGTGGATGATCTAAAAATAGCAGGCTGGATGGCGTGGATCCTAACGGCTGCTGTGGCCCCTGTTAGCTATCTGGAAGAGTAACTTGGCTTCGTTTATTCAATGTAACGTTTGAAAAGAGTCTGGCTCTCCCCACATTGAGCAGATCTGCTGGAGCTGGAGCTCCCGTTGCCCCAGCGTGGGGCAACTTGCCCCCACGCAGGTCCCAACAGGCTCTGGCTTCCTCACCTGCTTACCTCTTCCTCGTAATGCACCAGAAAATTGTTTCTTTGGAAATTTATTTGGGGCTGAGCTTTGCAGGGTGGTTGGCTTTCACCCAAAGGCGGATGTTTTTGGGGAGGGGAAAAGGAGCCGGTTCGTTGGCCTCAGCCGTTCAGCATGGAGGGACGTGGGTCCGGTCCCGTCTGGCTCTGACCACCCAGGGCTGAGAGTGGATCGGCTGCTGGGCTCCGGCTCCCCGGGAAATGAGGGGTCACAGCTGGGCCAGGACCCTCCTGGATTACGCCTGGAAAAGCGGAGGCTCTCGGAAAAGACTCTTTTTGTTGGAGGATTGTTTTGGGGGGAGCTTTTTTTTGGAGTGGGAGGGTGGCTAGTAGAAATCCCTGCGTCTGCATGGTCCCGGGGTAGTGATGTACGGTGAGAGCGAGTGAACCCGAACTCCGCCCTGCAGGCTGATGCGTTTGTGAGCACAGCCCTTCCCAGGCAAAAATCATGAGGTGCTGGCACCCAAGAGGGGGCGTACCCCTTCTGGGGTCACTGGTTTTTGTACTGGGATGTATGGGAGCGTTCCCCAGGCACACCTCCCCGGCTAGCGCACCCTGGCTCGGACAGCGCTTTCTCGGTGGTAGGATGCTATTGCACCGTTGGAGGGGAGGCTGCAGGGTACCAGCGCTTCTCCCCGGGGTTAAATCGCTCCATTCCCTTCATCACACTTTAGACCGAGATGCCGTCGGAGCTGGCAGTGGGAGGAGAGCTGCGCCGGCTGAGCCATCTCAGGTCTGCTCCTCTCCTACCTCTGAGGCCCGTCTGAGTGTGCAGTTGGTGGCTTTGCAGGCAAACGAGTATGGGCACCCTTAAAACCCTTGAGCTCGCACCAGGTTTCCACGCTGCGCTCTCCATCCCGGCGCTCCAGGCTTTGCCACCCGAGCAGCGAGGGGAGGCGGAAGGGGCCGGTGACCCCACAGTCTTCCCCCTGCTTCCTCTCGCTCCCTTTCTTCCCTCGGGATGTGTTTATGCAGTTGTTTCCCTGCCATTGAGTTCGGTTTCCTTCAGATGCTGGTTGATTAGTCAGGAAAGCCGTGTCCCACTTCCGCAGCCCGTTCCCAGCTCCAGTTTTTATTTAGCTGCTTTGTTCTCCAGTTACGTAAGGTCAGCTGCCCTCGACGCCTTCTCCAAACACAATGAGTCGGGGCCAGCCCAGCCCAGCACCCCCCGGGAGACCTGACATCTCTCCTCCCGACCTGCTCCGGCTGCCCCGGGAGAGGGTGGCTGGGTGCTGACCTCTGTGAGTCTGTCCTTGGTTATCTTCTGCCCACTTTTCAGGGACGAGGTCTGCAGGGCTGTGCCCAAGAGCTCCCCGTTCCTTGGGGTGATGGTGCAAGCACCCATCAGGTTTGTACAATGGGAATCCAGCTGTCTGCTGTACTTTGCCAACCATGTAAAGTTGGGACAAGTAGCAGATGACCCGAGAGTGAGTGTCACCAAGGCCAGCAGGGCGAGGGAGGGGATTCTGCCCCTCTGCTCCGCTCTGGTGATACCCCCCCTGGAGCACTGCGTCCAGCTCTGGAGCCCTCGGTACAGGAAAGACACGGACCTGTTGGAGCGGGTCCAGAGGAGGGCCACAAAAGCGATCAGGGGGATGGAACACCTCTGCTGTGAAGAAAGGCTGAGAGAGTTGGGGTTGTTCAGCCTGGAGAAGAGAAGGCTCCGGGGAGTCTTATTGACTTAGTGCAGCCTGTCAGTACTTAAAGGGGGCCTATAAGAAAGATGGGGACAGACTTTTTAGCAGGGCCTGTAGCGACAGGGCAAGGGGCAATGGTTTTAAACTAAAAGAGGGTAGATTTAGACTAGATACAAGGAAGAAATGTTTTACACTGAGGGTGGTGAAGCACTGGCCCAGGTTGCCCCGAGAGGTGGTGGATGCCCCATCCCTGGAAACATTCCAGGTCAGGTTGGACGGGGCTCTGAGCGACCTGATCTAGTTGAAGACGTCCCTGCCCACGGCAGGGGGGTTGGACTAGATGGCCTTTAGAGGTCCCTTCCAACCCAAACTATTCTATGATATGTGGGTAGCATAGGTGCAAGCCCTCCAGCCTAGTCTCCAGCTCTGCTCTGCATTGGAGGAGAAAGCCCCCTCCAAGAGGATGCCGATACCATCTGCCGCCTTGTACAGGGTAGCTCTTTGCACACCTCTTCCTTCCTTTCTCCACAGCTTTGTGAGAAGAAGCAGTTATGACCCTTTGTTTCACAGGAGGCACTTTCCTCTCCGACTCAGTGCGGTCTCTCCTGCCTGGCTTCCTGCTGGAGGTCACGGGGATGGTGGCAAACCCTCTGAGCACCTCACGCTATAGGATGTTTACCGGGAGGCTGACTCCGTATGTGGGTGCGCTAACACGCCCGAGGTCATTGGTTTCCACCGGGAGTCAGTCGGTAACTCCAGAGGAGGCCGCTAAAAGTCCCTGAGAAACACAGTCTGTTGAGTTCAGACCTGCTGTATCCTCACTGGAGAATGTGCAGCGCTCCAGAGCCTGGACCGAACTTGATACGTGCTGTGGTAGGGGTTTCCTATCGACACCTTTTTGAGGGAGATTTTTTGTTCTCAGTGAGCCAAACCGCTCCCTTTACGTTGTCTGTCGCTTCATTTGTGTAATCACAGATCTGCAGAGATGGCAGTGTAGGACAAGGTCCCACCTCCAAATGGTCTGGAAAACATTAGGGCGGCCTCTGAAAACACCGGGCGAGAGTCTGTAGGGTGCAGGGGGTCCGTGAAAGGTCGGAAAGAAAAGCTGGGCTGTTGTTAGATGGCTCAGATTTGCTAGACTGGCAAGGATAAAAGGGAAAAACCCTCCATACCCATCCTCTCCGCAGAAGGCAAGGAGACCGCTGATGTTGCACAAGGGACCGCTTGCTCTCGAAGGAGCCGGTTTCCAACAGCTTTCACAGGATCAGGAGTGCGACAGCGGGGAGCGGGGGAGCCAAGCGAGCAAGAGAGGAGAGACCCGTTGCTCCTGAGTGCTCTGAGCTCAGCGCTCTGGTTCCTCATGGTTGGTGGCTCTGCCATCTCCTTCCCTACTGGCATGGAGCTGTGCAAGAGGGGTTGACTTTCAAAAACGCTCTTCTGCCTCTTGGAGAGGAGGGGAATTAGAAGAAAAGGGTGATTTGGATTTTTTCCTGGATGCTCTGCAACAACGGTGCTAGGATGCCGTGGAAAACCCCAGGGGAGACCGTCCAGACCGTAGCCGTAATTCACCTGGCATGCCTTCAGGTTTAGATCCTTCCTGAGACGGTTACAGCTCATGGCTGGCCGGAAAGGTTGGGGATTCCCAAATAAAATCTGGGATTACTGGTCTGTAGGGGCTGACGCAGGAGAAGTCAATGGTGTAGATGGGATCAGTCCTAGCCAAACACCCCCTGTGTAGTTACTTTGCTGGTCTGCCTCAGTTTCCCCAAGATGTTGCAAGGAGTATTGGTGCAGAAATGGCCTGGCAAAGCCCGTTGCTGCTCACTTGCAGGTTATCTTCTCTATGCTTCACCTTCCCTTGCAGCAGCCTCAGCCTGCTCTAAACTCGCCACCAAGCTTCACTGCTCCCGTTTTTGC